CTCTTTGGTGCTGCTCGTTTGGTCAGATGTGAACACTGTAATGCTTTGTTATGGACTCCATCAACTGGTCACCTGTTTTTGGGTGCATTTCCAAATGTGTTTGCCTGTGGTGCAAAGGATGGAAATGGATCAGGTTTACAAATTCGTTGTGGTTTATTAAAACGAAAACAAACGTGGTCTTAAACCCGCTCTATGAAAATGTGTTGTTAAGTTCTATTTTAGCATTAGAATTTTTTAACTCTTCTGATCTTTCTAATTCATATAATGTCTGCAAAATAATAATTTTGTCATTGCTTGCGTGCACTCCTGTTCAAGTATGAGTCACCAATGCATTCATTCATAGCGGATGTAAAATGTATAAAAGAAACATGGCAGCGTTATTTAGACTTGCATTAAGGCCATTGTAGTTACTTCTGGCTGTAAATTAAATATTTAAATTGTTTTGTGTCAGTGTGTGCACTTTGTTCGTCGTGGTGCTTTGATACGGGGCAGGTTCTTGTCACATTAAGACATTATTGTTCTGGAACTGTCATGTTTCATTTAATGTCTGCCTGTGTCACAGCAAGGCCCAAATTGCTGCTCATTTCTTAAGAGGATAGGACACATTCAGCACTGAGTCTTGACGGTGACCAAAAGCAGTGTTGAGCTCAATGAGAGAAAACAAGTGAAAGCCTTTTTAAAGCCAAAAGAGAACAGAAATAAAAGGATGGAAAAGGCAGGTCAGTATCATTCAACCATCTATGAATTATACTGAGTTATATAAAAATTGTTTTTCCCGCCATTGCAACAGCCCATATTTCAAGGACAGAAAACTGCAGACATAAAAAAATAAAAATAAAAATCAGGTTGTAAAATCCATCATACGAATGCAATAATATTACTCCAGCATTTGTTCTGTAAGTTATATCCACAGTAGCTTTTGGAGAGGCGATTATGCCCACGTGTCCACTAAAGTGCTTAACTGGTTCTCATTTTCATTTTAAAGTCCTCAGCTGTGAATCGCAAAGATTTGTGGTGGTAATCTGAAAATAGGAATCTTGCTGAGTGCATTCAATTCATCGAGTTTGTGTGTCCCTTGGGAAAGGTTGTACTATATGAGGCACTCTTTCAGCCATCCATCGGTCGTCCGGAGCAAACAAAATAGTTATACGAAGGACTTAATTGTGTCAGTTTTCAATCCAACTCATGTTCCTCCAGCTACCTAATGTGAATTTGTGACTGATTCAAAGTTGGATCTTACCATATATACATAATTTCAATTAAAATGTACAGTATTTATTATGCTCATGATTACAGTATAATTCCAGTGCTGGAAATCAATTAGGTAGGATTGGTGCCTGGCTCAGGGGCACTCCACTCGAAGTTACCAAGTAGACTAGCATATCTCCAACATCTACTTGCCATTTTCATTTGTCCAAAGCACAAATTGAACCGTGAAAATTGAAATTCAGTGGTGCATACAACTGTCCAGACCAATTAAATATGACATCATTCTGCTTGCAACGGAGACCAATCTAAGATTGAAGACTTCAGTTCTGCTTTTGCCTCTTTGGGTTACCTTTCTGTGTTTCGTGCCCTTAAGCTGTGCTCTCCAAAGTCTCAGAAAATTAGTTTTTCCTTGAGTCCCCCGGAGTGCCTTGAAAGAGGTTCAGATGATTATCTAAGAGTACATTATTTGAAATGAGCGAAACAACATTTTCTGCCTTTGAACTACAGTAAAACATAAGAACTAAACACTCTTTGACGCCGTGTATGGTGACACTGGAATATTATCACCTGTGAAGGCAACACCTCAGAGTCGCTGATGTTGTAGTAGTCCACTTACCTGACCTTGGTGCAGGCAGTACAGATTCTGTTCCCACTCATTGACGGTGTAAATAGTTGTCCGCTTCTCTATGTGTCCTGAGTTTGGCTGCCGGGTAGTTCGCCTTATGCCCAAAGGGAGCCGAGATTGACCTTCCCACTACCTGAAAAGGGCCCTGTGGCATAGAAACTGATAGCTATGTTAGGTGTACGTCTGTACTGCACTGACAAAACTCGGCGGAATTAAATCTAAATCCTCGTTGTTAAAAACTGTCTTTTTGTATTACTTCACATATTTGCAGAACAGATTATTCTTGCTCCCAAGTTTCCTTGCAGCTTCTTGTGTTGAATTGACGCACAGCCCATTTTTAATCATTTATAACGACTTAAGGTTCTAATGATGTGCTCGCATGATTTAAGGGACTTTCCAACTTGGCTGAAACACCCCCTAAAATGTCCAGTGGTCAGAAAATTCTATTTCACTGTGACATCACTTTTGTTCCACTGATGTTGCCCACTTGGCTCTGTTGAAAGGACCCCATGCGTTAGCTATTAAACTGCTACTGGAAGCCACACTTGTATGGCGTGCATTGGATGCTGCCAATAAGTCCAGATGCTAATTGGGTGGTATTTTCATTGGGAGGGTGTGTTCCCATGAGCACTCTTAGATACCACTGTTCTAGTGTGCAAAGCCAGTGAGCTGCAAGACTTGTTAAGAATCAGTTGACAGTGTTTTGGTAGGGCTGGATGACGCTCAGAAATAAGAACATGGGACGTAATAAACCGATTGACTCAAGTGTTGACGGGGAGGGAAAGCCATTTGGCGAACTTCAGTAGCTGATGTCTGTCATCTTAAGCGGCTATGAAATAATTTACAGCGGTGTCACAGAGCCACAATGAAGGATGTCAGCCCATGTAAATCTGCTTTTACTCCAGAGGGACACTGGGTGGCAAGGGGCGTGGATCAAATGACGGAATGATTGTACAGCATTCGTTTTTATTGAGAAAAGGCAATCATGATGTCATAATTTTATGTTACATGATGTTGACTCTTGAAAATGTCATGTCACCTTATGTAAGTGTATTTATTTCCACCGTCATTTGCTATATGTACAAACGTATCGGTTCCACCTGCATTTTTGCACCGATGTGAATGCGAATTGGAAAAAGGAAGAGAAACGCAATTGGTCCGCCCTTTGCAGTTATAAATGCTTCCACTCCTCTGGGAGGTCTTTTTGCAATATTTTGTTGTCTGTGGAAATTTTGTATTTCAATGCAGAAAAATGACACTGGCCTCTGATAAGGAAAAATTTGGATACTGTCCTCTGGCGTCACTAAAAGTATTTACCAAAATTGGTTATGTGGTCAGTGAAATTGTTATGTAGATATGTAGTGGTGCCTTGAGGTACGAATTTAATTTGTAACGCAAAACACTTAAATTATCTTTCCCCATTTATTAAAATGAATGGAAATGCCATCAACCAGTTACAGCGTTCTTCAAAAACATGAGAAACGAAAAAGTATTTGGAAAGGTTTTTTGTAAGAAAAATAACGATTAATATTACTGTCATTAAAAAAAAAACAGTGAGGACATAATTAAATTGATTGTAAAGAATTAAACAGTTTTTTTTGCCATATTTTTGCTTCAGTTCAATGGACATTGTGCTGCTTCTTCCAGTGTGTGTCCCTTGGCCACCAAGAGGCAGTATAATATCTAAATGGACATACAGTCGGACCCCACAGATTTATAATGAGTGACAGTTGTCAAATGTTGGCTCTAAAAATGCGTAAGATTGGGTCCCTTGTATCTCACGTCACTATATCTTCTCTGTGTAAACGTATTCTGTATAATGTGCCATGTAAATTGATCAAGGTTGCCTAAAGAGATGATTTGTTGTCAGGCCTGCTGACAATTGATGATTTGCCCATCAACAAATCCAATACAGTTGCATCTTATATCCTTCAACAACTCTGATAAGGAAAAATTTGGATACTGTCCTCTGGCGTCACTAAAAGTATTTACCAAAATTGGTTATGTGGTCAGTGAAATTGTTATGTAGATATGTAGTGGTGCCTTGAGGTACGAATTTAATTTGTAACGCAAAACACTTAAATTATCTTTCCCCATTTATTAAAATGAATGGAAATGCCATCAACCAGTTACAGCGTTCTTCAAAAACATGAGAAACGAAAAAGTATTTGGAAAGGTTTTTTGTAAGAAAAATAACGATTAATATTACTGTCATTAAAAAAAAAACAGTGAGGACATAATTAAATTGATTGTAAAGAATTAAACAGTTTTTTTTGCCATATTTTTGCTTCAGTTCAATGGACATTGTGCTGCTTCTTCCAGTGTGTGTCCCTTGGCCACCAAGAGGCAGTATAATATCTAAATGGACATACAGTCGGACCCCACAGATTTATAATGAGTGACAGTTGTCAAATGTTGGCTCTAAAAATGCGTAAGATTGGGTCCCTTGTATCTCACGTCACTATATCTTCTCTGTGTAAACGTATTCTGTATAATGTGCCATGTAAATTGATCAAGGTTGCCTAAAGAGATGATTTGTTGTCAGGCCTGCTGACAATTGATGATTTGCCCATCAACAAATCCAATACAGTTGCATCTTATATCCTTCAACAAAACTGTACCCACAAAGATGGAAGCACACAGTTGTCGAAAATGTCTCAAAAATGAAATAAGGGGATCTCTCCCTCACTGTGAAATGTCTGAAAATGACGGCTGAATGGAAGGAATTAATGAGCTCAGACACACTGTTTCTGATGGATTAGTCTTGTAAATGGCTCCGATCTTCATCTCTGAAGATTCAATATGAGGAGACATAAAGGCAAAAGATTCCATAAAGGGAATGAAATCTTTTCAGTGGCAGATACTTTATCTGTCACTAATGTTTTTCTTCTCTGTCCTAAGAATATGTATTTACACAGAAAGGTATGAAAAGCAACAGGTTCTCAGAAGACGCCTGCTGACCAAATTGTTGCATGCCGTTCCCTGAAGTCTAGACTTCTAATAGTCCTGTCTCACATTGCATTGATTCAGTGGCTTTAAACGTTATATTAGATTAAGTGCTTGGATGACTCATGACCACAATAGCTAAATCTTTTCCTTTCTAGATTGACTCTTTGACATTTTTATAAGTTGTGTTAAAATATTTGTTTTGTTTTTTTTCTTTCAGGATGACTGGGACTCGAGCGACGCGTCCCGCCGACACAGAGCTCATAACACTGATGACAAGACTCAGGAAGTTTTGCCGCCTGGTAAGAATCTTACTCGTAATGCATCACAGTTATGTCGATATATTTTTGGTCGAAATGTCCAAAGAGAGGGTTACAACTACGAATGCACAATCTTGCGTGGCCGCGGCTTATTCCACCAGGTATTCTCCAGTTGGATGTAGGATCTGGATCATTTCACCCAAATTCTTTCAGAACTTTCTGTAAAAATTTTAGTTCATAAACCAATGCCCAAAATTGGGAGGACTTCGGCCTCTTACAAAAAGTTCACGGATGTTTGTTAAAACTGACAATCAAATTACACTTGGCTCTGGGAATGGACTGATTGAGAATTGGTGGACAGTGGGACCTTGTTTGTCCTGTATGGTGACACATGAGCTTGATTTTTCTGTATAAGGGAGAAGCTCCCTTCTGACTGAGGCCTAAATGTGCTCAAAGATCGCCCTGGAGCTTATTAGAGTTTCTCCCAAGTGCTAGTTTTCATACATTATATTCCCCCTTTGTGCATGAAGAGTCTTGTGACAGTATATTTTCAAAAGGCGTGTAATTTTAATTTCATTGCATCTGAACAGCGGCGCAAGCATCAAGTAACGCATAAAGCCGACATTCCAGTTCTCCATAGGTTGGTATAATTACACTGGGGAACACAATTTTGGTTGAGTTTGCTCTGACAGCTGTTTTCAACTCTTTCATCTTGTCCAGACTTTGCAACTTTTTAAAAAAGATTATTTATTTATTTATTTATTTGCTGCAATCCTTCAAGTCCACCAATGTAATCGCGACAGTATTTGAAGGTGTCATCGAATTGTCCTGCTGCTGTCTTTAAATGAATCCATCTCGAGCGACATTCTTTGACCCGCCCTGAGCCAACTGGCTTTATATCAAGGATAGTGCGGGCCCTGTGGTTTGCCCATGTGGCAAAAAGTTTCAGGGTGTCAGATAACAAGCCTATTTTCAAGATAGTTTGCTGGCTTTACATTTAAATAATGTATGCAATATGAATGACTAAAAGAAAAAAACTTCACTCACTCATTCTGAACAAGTTACTTGATATTATTCCAACAAAAGTTGTAGCGCATAGCACGTACCCTTATTTAATTTAGGAGCAAAATAAGGTTACAGGGGGGTCTGCCATATCTAACGACATCCAGTTGTTGGAGTTTGTAGTTGTGGTTTTACATTAGAAACTGTAAGATAAATACATCCCAGCTGTGTCTAGAAAGCAAATGTATCTCCAGTGTTCTGGCAAACCAAATCATTTCCTCCTTCAAAAGTAATTGATCAGTCTTACATGTTTCCCATCCTCTTCGACCTTCATACGTTACACCAACTAGTAACAGAAAAGACAATTCATTTCACTTGGCAGTCCAATGGTTGAAATTCCAACGCGATATGTCCGCAAAACCAACTATGCATCTCCACCCACTGTTTCCAGAAACAACATCTGAATCCAAAAGCAGAGCAGATTGAAAAAGTCATAGCTGAGCGACTTGTCATGCAGTTCTCGTCTGGAGCCTTGCTCGGATCTGTCGCCCCTCCCTCCCACACCGTCCGTGTGACCCATGAAAAGTTGAGTGCATGCATCTGATTGATTCATGAGTGGAAATGGATTCCAATTTGACTAGAGAAGTGGGAGGCTTTATAACTTCAGGGTGCCTTTATTCATCACCCAGGCAGTTTAGCCTATCATAACACTAGCACTTATATTCCCCAAGATATTTCAAGGACAAGCAGGAGGAGAGTGGACAGAGTAAGGGTGGAACAGAATGTGTTTAAAAAATATTTGAAAAAAATGTTAAATGCATGGAGAGCAATAAGTGTGCATGGGTTGTCTTGGTGACTGTGCACCACCCATTTTAAAAATCGAAAGGGAGGCACTTAATAGATTTTGCGTTAGAATAAGTGCATTTAAATTGAACCTTTGGAAAATGAACAACTTTTTAGCAACCGCTTGGAGAAGAAATCCCCTGCTGCTTTTTAAACAGTCCCAGTCTGCCTTCTTTTCATTCCACATGGATTTCTCAATTCACTAGCAGTTGCCTTAAGGGCCAGAAATAGTTTTCGTCATTTCTTGTTGCATTTGTTCAGTTCTCCACCCTGAATCAATCATCTCTAAAAACAATGATACAAGATTTTTCATTTCACCACACATTTAAACAATTATTTTAAATTTGAGATTTTTGAACAGATATTGTCATACTTTAACGTCAAACAATAAAAAGACCAATGTTGAGCTTATTTTTATTTGGGAGTGACTCTAAAGACACATAGTGGTGTGTTGGAATGGAGTGAATTGAGTGGGTTGGTGGAGTTCCACTGGATGGCTTTGGAATGGTTACTCGGGGGAGTCCTGTCTGCCATGCACCATCAGTATGACAACACCACAGCATCGTGGGATTTCCAGAAAATACTGCAGCCAACACAAACAGACAGTCAGAAGAGGCTCAGAGTGGAAAGAGCTCAGTGAGCAAGAGGCCAAGGGAGAGAAGTGCAGACTGTTCAAACTGTCCATTATTCACCAGTGGAAAAAATAAATCCAAACATGCACACCACAAGCCAGTTCTATAGGGGATGCACTCGAAAATATGGGCTCAGGGAGGGTTTTTTTTTTTTAATTCCTTTCACATGAATGAGAGAGGTTGTGGACATCTAATCGAGCATGTCAGCCCTGAAAGTGGGGCTCTGTGGATATGATATTATGTACATTACAGTTCAGTCTGCATTAAGTTAGTATGAAATGGTAAAACCTAATCAGGTTTGTGTTTGCACGTGGGTGTGTAAGCGGGATGGTGACAAACAATGAACAACGAGAAGGAACGCGACAATCACTGTTAGCCATGTTCAATATCACTTTTTTAGACCGATACCAGTATGGATATTTAACCTTTGAATACTCACCGATACAGTGTGCTATTTAACACAATGGCAAAAATTTGTGAACAAAGGTCTTTCTTTCCGACTCAGATGATGATTTGCTGATGTCAAACTTCTGCAGGATGGCGCCAACTACTGCAGAGGAGGACTTATTTAATGTCAATTTTTTTTAATTGCCTTGATCATCTGGGGCTGGTGTCAGGAGCCTCGATGTGTAATTCAACATGTTAAAATAAGGCCGGTAGAGGCCTGATACCAATCCCGCGTACTGGTACTCACTCCTTCATAGTCACTGTATTTATTTGGCACCTTCTGCCACTTTATTTGATGGCGTACTTCCCCAAACCGTACGATGCAGCTCGGTGGACACAGAATATACTTAAAACTTCCAGGCGGATTTAAAGACGGAAGAAACTCAAATTTATTTGGGAAACAAAATAAAGAAGAAACATTAATGGTTGCCATGGAGCCCCGAGATCAGCAAGGACATCATGTTGCCGTGTCTCAGCCGCTTCACTTTGCACTCACAGGCTGATCACTGTGAGCCTCATCTAGTTAACATGCGAGACACATACACATACTGTCAAGTTAGACACATGCACTCGTTTCGGTTGTCACCTCTCATCCTCGTCAGCGTTCCCTTCTCTCTTCTCTCGTTGTCTCCGCCTGCCATTCCATGCACTCTCCTCCGCAGACAGATAGTATAATCTCACAGTGCCATACGCTTAGAACAAGTCATTACCATTGCAGCGGCGTTCAGCTAATTAGCCGTGTCTCAGTGGTCGTGATTAACTGGGAAATCAAACCTTTTTTTTCTGTTTAGCGATCTTGGTAACCCAGGCAACGTCTTTTTGAATGTTTGCAGGTTTTTCAACTCGCACATTATCAGGACAGTGTATTAGTTTTTTTTTCTCTCTCTGTTTATGAGTAGAAAATATTTTACAGAAGCTAAGCAGCTTTCTTCTCAGACAGCTCTGAAGTCTTCTTGCATCAACCTTGCCGCATTTCATATTCCAACCTTACAATGAATGTAGAATGTATAATCCCCTTTCTAGCCGAGACACATTTGTGTCGGCTCAGAATCTTTGGAGGTTAAAATGATTTGGAAATGTTGAATTTATTCGACATGTGTCACAAAGCGGAACCGAGAATGTAAACGTTGATTTCAAACCTCCGGCTTAACGGTACTGCTTCTTTCCTTACAACTAACCTTAGAATACGCAGAACTCCTGTTTCTGTGTTAATGTCAGATTGGGAAGTATAATGCTGTCCCAAATTGTCGCTGTTCAGGCCACCCACGAGTTGAAACAGCAATGCCTGTGCTCTTTGCTGCTGAGTTGTGTGCTTCATTTATTGTCCATTACACCAAGACGGTTAATCAACAATAATCTCACATAATTGCCAGAATCCTCAACGATCAATCAGCCAGTTATTATGCCCCATGCCTATATCTGAACAAATTAACTGTAAACCACCCTTGTCAATAGTCCCCATAGAATGGCAACAAAGCACAGCAGGTTTTTTTTTTTTTTTTGTGCTTATTATTTGTGTCTGTCTGTGTCCAGGTAAAGTCCGCTGGCAGGACTTCGACCAAGATCTGTATGTTGGAGCTACAGTGGTCCGACCAGGTCAGGACCCATATGCCAGAAACAAGTTCAACCAGGTGGAGAGCGATAAGCTCCGTATGGACAGAGCTGTACCGGATACTAGACATGACCAGTATGTATTATCATTTTTCACCGATGTATACACAACCACGCACCCACACAAGCATATTCTTTTGTTTAAGATCCACGTTTCACCTCTTCACGCTTTTTCATGTGTAACTACAGTGTGCAAGCCTTTCTCCATGTCTGTTTGACTAATTTGTCCTACAATGATAAGATCCGATGGAAACACGCTCTATTGTAGTGGTGTCGATCAAATGAAACGACACCAGGAAGTAGCAGCAGGTTCCAAGCACACTTTACAGTGAGCGATCCTTCCACTTGTAATGGCGACTGAGAGCATATCAGTATAATAGGGGACAATCACATGTGGAGTCATATCGGTTGAATTTTACTTATAAATCACCAATTAACAGCACAGGTTTTCTTCAGGCATTTTTTTTGTACGGCGCATGGGTAAGACCACACTTAAACCCAAACCAACACCTTAGCTGTACTTTGGCAACAGCGGTAGAGGAACTCGTACATCCTTCTGTTTATTGGACCTTTTTTTAACTCATCCATCCATTTTCTTCTGCTCATCCTGTTCAGGGTCTCGGGTAAACTGGAGCCTTTCCAAAATGACTTTGGGCTAGAGGCAGGTTAAACCCCTGTTTGGTTGGCAGCCAATCACAGGGCACATATACAGAGAATCAATATGTCGATACACCCCTGCTCAAATGCTTGGTTTTAATGATTTTTAAAAAAATAGTTTTTATACACCACAGAAACCTGACATTTGAACAGGAGTATGTATACTTTTAAAATGCATTGTAGACAAACAACTATTAACACATTTATTTTGAGGAGGGGTGGGGAAGGGTTGGATCCACACAAGCATGGGGGAACATACAAACTTCACACAGAAAGGCAGACTTTCTAACCCTTTTAGAGAATAGGAGAATGGGTAACCAAATATGCCACAGTGTGTATTTACAGTATTATATCGAGTGCAAATCTGTTAGTAAAGAATTGACCAATGCCTGTCATTATTCTGTCTTGGCTGAGGTCTTCTAAGTGCCCTTGTCGTCTCAAAATAAACGCACCCATCCTTTTTGTTTCCTGGCCTTGCTTCAATTTGCTCTACAGACAGATGTTAGTTGTGCTCTTTAACTTTAAATACATCAAGTTTTTCACAGCCCCGCTGTTGTCACACTGGAGGCAAAACACATTTGCTTTGATCGCTCTCCTTGAAGTCGTTCCATTACAGCAGAAGGATTAGCATCTGTTTTATTGCTTCTCTGCTTCACCAACCCATTGTACTTCATTTGATAACATTTTCCTGGTGATGCTGATCTTGCTTTAATAGCTCATTAAGCAAACGCTATGAGCTCTCTATGTTTGCTTCCAACACTCACCCGTCTATTCATCAGAGAGGTTTTATTTTTGCACTTCCAGTCCGACCACACAAACATGCCGTTAAAAGTCTTTTTGAGAGTGACAACGGTCATGCCTCACTGATGCGCTGACCTGACGTGGCTAGCTAAAGCCATTAGCCTACTAAAAGAGTAGGGATGCGTCTCATATTGATTTGGCAGTGTTCTGTCAGTTTGCCCAGCATGCAGGCGCTCTCGACGGTGAAAGGGCAAAAAGACGGATTCTAGGGTCTCCCCAGCCCAGGGACTCATTTGCGATTTTCAACACAGAATCCTAAGAAGTTAAAGATTTCTGATAAAAGGCTCACACCTTAATAGTCTTTTCTGCCAATGTGATGATTGAGGGGATGTTAATTTTAGATTGATGAAGTGACATATTGATTTGTTTGAAGCCAATGGTGCTGTGACAGAGATAGAACAGATACAAAGGACCACACACACATACACACTCAAATCCATTTTCTACACTTTGGCTCTAGATACTGCACACGCATATCAAAACTAGTCTGGTGTGTATGGCAGATTTTTAATTGGTTGTTTGTAGTGGCCGGGGTCAGACGCGATGAGAGGCGGTTGCTAATGAGGCCATGGTCCTCTACTGCTTCCGTTTTGCTCTCTTCCCCAGTGTCTTATGTTCTTGATTGTAATTCAGGTGTGTCTCTAGTGAAACCCAATGCCAATCTCGGCCAATCTCAACCTTTTTTGAGCCAAGGCAGATAATGGACATTGGAAAAAAAAATCCACGGCACACCACTCGGCAAAGCGATTCCCAAAAAGTATATATGCAGATTTATTGTGTACCTTCACTCATCTAGTGGAAGAGCATTTCATTGTTTTGCCTCCCATTATACATGATTTATATATATAAATTAACAACAAAAGAAGCTGTTAGAAAATACTATGTATTTTTGTCAACGTAATTGACATCGGATAATTTTCCACGGCACACTAAAGTGCCACGCCACACTGGTTGAAAATCACTGCTGTATAGCATAGTGGGTACGCATGCACCTTTGTCTTAATTCATTGTGCTCACCGGCGCATTCCCACTTCACAACATCTGTATTCAAATGTGTGTGTGTGTGTGTGTGTGTGTGTGTGTGTGCGTGCGTGCGTAGTTGCAGACATAAGCAGTGGAAGTCAGACCTGCCAGCTTCGAGTGTGGTCATCACCTTCCACAATGAAGCCCGCTCCGCTCTGCTGCGCACCGTTGTCAGGTACGTGAATGCTTTTTGTTCGTGTTGCACATAAACAAATGTAAATATTGGGATCTTGGTGTTTTATTTCGCCCTTCTCCCTTTCTCTTTCTTCATCACGCTTCAGCGTCTTGAAGAAAAGTCCCACTCACTTGGTGAAAGAGATCATCTTGGTCGATGACTACAGTGATAATCGTAAGCACAATGCACACAACAAATGGCCATAACACTATTCATTGATTAATTGATTCTGGGTGTGACCAGAATCCAATTGAGTACATTACCATGATAACTAGCAGCATAGCTCGGGGGTGTCTACTTGTTGAGTTCAGAGTCGAAAAAAGCAAGTGCAAAGTGTGAGCGCACATGAGATTGTCTAATCTTTTTTGTCGTATTTTCACTTATTGATGAAGCATTTCACCAGGAAGCTGCCAAACTCAACTTTTTGTTTAATTTAACCGAGATCTACATGCATGTCCACTGTGTGCAGCCTATCAGAAGCTAATGTTGGTGGCTAACACTAATCTGCGCTAAGACACTACTTTTTGGCTTCGACTCATGCTTGGACTTTGGCCATCGCTTGAGAGTGTTAGCTCTCTTTCTCGCATAGCTGCCAAGCAGTAGGTGGTGAAACTTGATATGTAAATTACAACGGTTTGCTCACAGACATATTTCAATTCCTTTTTGACCATTTTTATATAACTAATTAAAAAGGCAAATTCCCACGATATGTTCTCTTTAATGATGTGCTCTGGTGAGCTAATGCGGAGACATCATCATTTCTGCTGCGGCATTCCAGTAGAATGCACTACTTGGCTGCAACTTGAGGGAGCACCGAATGAATGATCCACTATCAACTAATGCAATTAGAACAACGTGAACTTGATCCTCAACCATATGCGCTGGCAGTGAAACGAGTTCTGAAGTATATATTTAAAAGACTTGTGGAGGCTCTCAGTCGTACAGGAAAGTTCCATCGTAGAAAGGGTTCTGTCAGTCGTCATCTGTACCTGTGGGTAAAAACAAAAAACAAAAAACAAAAAAGGACGTTTCGCTTCTCTCACAGAAGCTTCGTCAGCGGTAGACAACCCTGAAGTCTCCGTGAAGACTCCGGGAAGTTGCTCTGCGCTAAAAGGCTGAGCGTGGCCTGTTTGAGGACTGGGTGGGGATGGTTAGTCACGCCCCTATGATGAAGAGGCCCATTGGTTTCTAAACTCCCTATCATTGGGTCTTGATTAGGCCTATTGTTTGGGCTAAGGCTGAATAGCTACTTTCAGTTAGCCTGATCAGCATGTCTATGTCCCTTACTGGTCAACAAGTTATTGTAAATAGGAGACAGGTTAAATCTGATACCTCCTTCACGGTTCAGAGAGGGTGAAAATTTTTTAACAAAAATCGCTTCCTTTACTCCCCTTTCAAACCATCTCTTTTCTGTTCCTAGGATTTTTACTTGTTCATCTTCAATTGTGTGGTTTGTTTCTTTTAAGTGTGCGTATACTGCACTTTTGTTATCATTGTTTTTCCATTTGTGTTGATAAAGTCTTTTCTTGAGTGTTTGTTTGGTTTCTCCAATGTAATGTTCCTTGCACTCACTTTCTTGGCAACGGATGGAATAAATCAGATTGCATTTTTGGGTGTTAGGAACCCGGTCTGGACTGACAGAACCCTTTCTACGATGGAACTTTCCTGTACGACTGAGAGCCTCCACAAGC